TTGTGTTACAAAAATAAAAAGTGATGTACTAATCTACGAGGATGTAATAAAATCTGTTTCAACATCTTTTTCTAATATTCTACACGAGGTTTATTATTCTCACAATAAAATTAATTTACAATGTTTTATACATATGTACTGGTAACAAAATTAATTTATAATATTCCACACGCATATATTCGAAACGAAATTAATTTTTAATGATGATATTTTAATCAACGATTACTCAATATGCAATACGTAAAAATAGTGTGTGTCACTTGTCTGACGAAAGACGGCATGTTTCACTGCAGTGAGTAAAGAACACATGTTTCAGGAAACTTCTGATAAATATATACTAGCATGTCTGACTCTTCGTCATGAAAATAATATATTACCAATATTTTGCCATGAAGAAGAGTACAGTATTTGAATGCTTGTAGAAAAAATTAAAATATATTACTCCACTACATGAAAAATGAGATATTCGAATATTTTGGATATAACAATAGCTAAAGAAGGATCTGTATAAATAGAAATTTTATTTGTTTATAAATATTATATATTGTTTGTATATTACTGCATATTGGTATTAATTTAATATTAATATTAATTTTTTGTTAACCGTATATTATTTAAACGAAAATTTGTAAACTGATTCGTGTCGACTTTAGTGATGTAATTATAGTATTAGTAATTTTAGTAGTCATAATAATTATAGTATTAGTAATTTTAGTAGTCATAACACGTGGTAGATTTACTTTGAGAATGGTTTCTGATGCCTGAGATCGTTGTTAAACGCTATAACTGCTCTTTTTAATTTTCATAGTTATTAATATTATTAATTAATCCTTCAATTCAATTGATGTAAATTTATAAATTTCATTGAAGGTATTATTATTTATAGTAACACTTTTATTATATATTTTCAAAGTGATTTCATACCCTGATAAATTTATCAAACTGATTTAATATCTCGTCGCTCATTTTAATAAAACTTATCAAACTGATTAATAAATGTATCCCATCACGGCGTTAATGAAATTTGAATGAACGTAGTCATAAAAATCTCTTGAAATAAGCGTTCAAATATTCGTGCGCATCAAAAGGATTTATTAAATATTTCAATAATCTGTTCTCGTAAAACATCACGCTAATTTGCATTTATTAATTAACAGGCATTGATCGGCTAATCCCATTTCGAACTGAAAGTAGATTAACGACAAAGTTTCGTAAGAGTCGATCGGCCGAAACGGGTATTGATCCCTCAACCAGAGAAGTTTGCCAGATTATCCACTTGTTTTTCCCATCGGTGAGAGCTTTCCAACTACTTTTCAAAATTAACTTCACGTTGTGACTCGAGGTTTGACCTATCCGAACTCCACGAAGATTTATAGACGAAGTTTCTCAATTATCGGATCGAATCATCGATATCCGACGTCGTCCAAACCTTGTCTAATTTCCCAGACGCTTCGAGATTCTACCAAAAAAAATCGTTTCTCCCGGCAAAACATTTTGAAAGACGACCTTCAATTCCATTTCACGAAATCTGTGATTTTATTTAAATCTCGAGATAAATGTGTAGATATATGTTTTTTTTTTCAGTTTGTTAAAAATTTAATAAAAATTGAATCTCATTACTATACCCCGAAGGTTAATACATTTCTAGGATTCGCACCTTCGATTTGATGGAAACTGTGATTTTTACTCGGATTCAGAGGTAAATATGAATTTTTGTTCAGCTTATTAAAAATTTAATCCAAAATTTATATACTTTGAGATAATTTAAGATTGCAAAAGTTATTTCACCAAAGCTGTGATTTTTATTCGAGTTTAGAAATAAGTATGTATCTACAATTTAATCAAAATCGAACGCTGTTATTACGACTTTGGTCGTTCATATATTTTTGAAAAATTTAAGATTGCAAAAATCTCAATTTTACCAAAACTGTGGACACTTTTTTCCAGATAATCGTTTCTTAAATTATTTCCAAAATTTTCATTCTATGTGATTTTAAAATGTTTCTCCACTTCTTTCAGAAATATATTTCTCGTTCCCTCGTACTATGAGAGATAAATATATTTGTTTACAAAGATCTCGATAGATCGTTAGTCAGCTGAGACTTTGTACAATGAATGCTAACGATTGTTCAATTAACTTTGAAGAAACGAAATTCTTCAATTTGTACACTAATGAGATTTAGAGTTATCCGTGTTCTTTCTTCTATGCAAATGAAATGCAACAAGTTACGGAACAAGAACCCTCTCTAATTAACGTTCGTTCCTTCTCCTTTGTATCCTCCTTTTTTTTGGAAAACGTTTTTGTTCCTTATACATTTAATGGAAAGAGCCTTCGTTTGGTTCCACTGTCCTCCTATTATATCGCGAATGAAGCTTAAAGAAAAAGTTACATAGAAATCCATCTTGATAATAAAATGAGTAATAAGACTAATATTAATTACAGACATTAACAACATTAATTTTCAAATAATTATCTGAAATTTTTAATATACAAATAAATGTTCAAATATTCAAATTATCAATAATATCTGATATCTCAAACTAATACTTTATACTTAATTTTGAATATATTATTTTATTTTGGAACATGGTCCAGTCTAAGCAATAATTCAATATTTCAGTTTATCGAACTTTCATAAATATTTAAACTCAATAATTATAATTATTTCTGAGAACAAGTATTATTCTCACCGAGGGAGAAATTTCTTTTTTAACATTGGAACTACAAACATAAAATTTTCCAGTTGTATTGAGGTAAAAAAAGCAGGAGAAAAGCTTCATAGTACAATAAACTACATAGTCTTTGATCTATATATTTCACGAAAGATCATTTAAATGGCTCTGAAAAAGAAAAAAATAGCTTTTTGTGTCTAAAATTATATTTTGGTAGTTCTAGTGTTGAGCAATCGCCAAACTATCTTTGTCTTCTGAAAATTATCAAATCACAGGCCAGCAATCGCACGGCTGGCTAACTTTATTATTCGTTATTACCAGAGAAATTCCAGCTTCATTTCGCCTACAGAAAAATAAATAATAACTGCAGGTAGAAGTAATATTTCGCTGTATAACGTGACTCAAGAGATTAGCATCCCTCTCAGTTCCGACGAAATTTATTAACTACGTAACGATACCCTGCTGCATTATAAACAGGCCCACGCGAATTTCTTAATCGCGACAATTTCACGTACGCGAACTATAAGGCGCGGAGAACGATCGAACGCATGTGCAGCTCGAGGAGTGTGATCAACACTGTATTTCCCAGAAAACGAGGCAACTCTAGCGAATAAAATCGTAAATACAGATGTTGTAAAGCAAGCGTAACAGGCGAGCGTAAACGTAAAGGCTACTGAACGTACTCCAAACATATTAAACATGCATAAACATTTCGCAACGTGAATTACGAGGAGAAACAGTGCGCACGAGTATACCCTACACTCGGTTTGTTTGTAAATTTTTCCAACGAGGAAGTTTCAGAAAAAAAGAAAAGAAAAAACGTTGCACGAATTTGATCAATACAAGTAACATGGTTGTTGTTTAATTCATGGTTCTTCCACGTAACTTTTTAAACTCAGAAGGAATTTTAATTCTAGTATTTTTCATGAACTTGCTATTAAACTTTGTTACTAAAGTTCCGGAAATGAACAGAAGTATTCGCACACGGCGATGAAAAATTGTCTATATATTTTTAATTGTTGTAAATTCGTGAAGTAATAAACTCGTACAACACTCGTACAACTTTCCAAAGATTGTTTTTGCACCATGCAGCAAGGATACTTTGAAAATTTGAACGTTTCTAAAATCAGTGAAAATTCGTTTTCATTGTTAGGTGTTTCCATGATCTCGAAGATCGAAGATCGAAGCCCTTTTAGAACTATTTAAAATTTGCAGTACTTGTAGCATAATAGTTACACTATGGTTTTAATTAAGGTGCCGAGGAATTTTGTTTGGTACTTTTCAAATGAGAATTGATATGGAGGGAATGGATATTTTTTTAAAGTTCCAAAATTAGAAAATTTAATTTAAAATTTGAATGAGAATGATAATAATAGCACTACTGAAGACAAATAAATATAATATTTTCGTGAACTTGTAACTTTTTTAATTACAGTAATAAAGTGTTTTTATCATGTGACTCTTATTTGGAATTTTCTAAAAAAAAATAAGAATAATAATAATATTGCTAGATAAACATTTAAACTCGAACATCTCTATGAATTTCTAACTCTCTGTAATTACAATATTGCCCGAGCGTTGTATTTATCTCTGTGAGAGAATATTCATTGTGTATTTTAATTATAATTCTCGTTTGGAATAAAAATACAGTGTAACAGTATTGCTGAACAACAAATCAAATATTTTCATGGAAATATAAAAATCCGTTCGTTCTTAAATTATCGAAATAGTTCTCTATGTTTATGTCCTGAGTGTCTACACTGTGCTTCAATTACGTTTCTCATTTGTTCTCAGTTTCCTAAGTGAGAATGAAAATTACAATGGTGCTACACTAGACAGACAATTCAAATATTTTTACAGAAATATACAAATCGTATTTCGTTTTCCAAGTTTATCGAAATATTTCTCATCCCTGTTTCTAATTATTCATAGTGTTTCCTTCAGTTAGGATTCTCGTTTGTAATTTTCCCAGCAGAAATAGAACTAATAACTAGACAAACAAACATAGAAATCGTGTTTTGTTTCTAAAGTTTCAAAGCATTTCGCTCTTATTTATTTCTCATTTTATTTATAGTGTACATTTGATTGCAATCAAACATTTTGAATTAATTAAAACAATTGCAACGTGTTACTAGACAAACAAATTCGATTGTTATTCGGTGTTGCTAGATCCCTGGTCTCGATGTATAAATTAAATACAACAATTAACAGTGTACTGCGGAATAGTAAATTACGTTCAGTTATAATTATGACATGCAAATCAGTTTGCATAAATCATATCCTTAATTAGCAATGCAGTCGCACGCTGATTTGTTATTCAAATAAAACTAAATTAATTTTAGGTGAAAAGCGACCCCTCGTCGTAGCCAGTCGTCGTGATCCTCTCTGGGACATCCAACCGGAAGTGAGCAGATTAACGCATCTCTTTGCGAATTCGCGTAAACCGGGACGTTGAGAATATCGTCCGAATTTCTATTTTCCAGACAATCACTCAACGTTTTGTTTCTTGCTTGGTCGTCGTTGTAATTCTCTGGTAAGAATGCAATCTGACAGCTGGGCGCGGTCGCAACGGACGCTGCATTTGCATCGAGATCCTTCAGGCCGCCATCTTCTATCAGAGCTCCTGGATAATTGAAAAAAATTTCAACAATATTGACGAAAGAACAGAAAAATTCGCGTCATTTCGATTTTTCAATTACATTGAAAATTTCTTCTATTTTTTTTTTTAATCAATTTTGTCGTTATCCTTAGGTTGTGCAATAAATTTGTTCGCAACATCTCAATGTATGCCATTTGGTTAATTATTCTTTATAAATGAGTCAAGTAATTTCGAAAGTTTCTAAAGTTTCCAAAGTTTCTCCTTTTGTCAGAAAATTACTCTACGTCCTTATGAATTATATTCGACGTATATTCCATTATTGGTAATACAATAAATTTGATTGAATTGGTTGAACAAGTCGCGAGTCCAATATTTCCTGTGATAAATAATTCCTTCAGTATCTCGAAATTATGTATTATTTCCAATTTCATGCTGTGCTTTAAATATTTATGGTTTTCTTTCTATTGTCATCAAGTAATACAATTATAAACAGCATTTATCATACACATTATGTACGTGTCCCTCTATTCAGCGTGAATGAATTATGCATATGTAAGCAAACAGTTTCTATAATATATATCATTAATATTCAACGAATTTATCGCACAACCAAATATTTTAGATTAAAAACAGTCGAATTCATTTTATTCCTTGAATCCTCTTCGAGCGAAAGAGGTGTCGAACGAACGAAATTACCAGATATCAGTAGACCTTCGATGATCAACGATATCTTCCAATCGTCGTTTCTTCGATTCTCGAGCCAGTTCACGCAAAGTCGAAGATTCTCCATGGGTTGGCGCGTTTCTCGCGCGGTGTGTTGCTTGAGAACGGTCAGAAAGGCTCGTGGCCTTGCCAGCCGCGACATGTCAACCACAGACGAGGAGATGGTCAAGATGGATTCCAGAGCTTGGTACCTGGACAATAATCCTTTAACAAAAGAGAGAGCTTCCTTCGGTCCATATCTCCAGTTCACCATCCAGCGTGTGGGAGTCTAGAAAAATTCGATCCCTGTGAACCTTTGAAATCTTGCAAAATTTTCCTAAAATCTTTTGCGATTTTTTTTTCTTTTTTTCTTTTAAACTCTCCCTTTAAAATGCAAAACGACTGATTTAATTTATCAACTTTTCTGGACCTTTTCTTAATTTAAGAGATTAAGTTAATCCAGGTCTGAAGATTTAGATCTCAATTGAAAATGGTTAATAACTGAACCTTAGCGTCCTCGAGGCGCGAGGTTCCCACGTCACCGCGAATAAGATCCAACGTCCTCTTGGTCAGATTCATCTCGTCGACAAAGAAATTCTGCAACGGATTGTTGTTTCCACCGTGTTGTTCCGTAGTCGTTGACGATCCAAAGATCGACACGTGCCGATCGATCAACTCTTTCAAGTCCCTCTGAATTTTCGTTTCCGTTTTCTTGCTGCTTCTGTCGTCGTTGACAGACGCTTTGATCAAAATACCTGTCGATATTTAAAAACAAAAAAAAAAAGAACGTTGACATGCTTCCAGCATCAGAGAAATTAAAATATAAACGGAAACGAGACAAAATAATTTTTAGAAAAATCCGACATGAAATCGGAAAAATACAATTCGTTATAAATTACTAAAGCGATGCTAAATTACACAGAATTTCTCCGTTGTTTTTGAAGATGTGAAAATATTTAATAAAAGTTGTTTAATATAAAGAGAATCATAATAAGGACTGTTTTTTGTTCCGTTAATCAGTTGTCTATAAAAATACTAAATACATAGTAAAATACCATTAACTCGTATACATATTTATGTACGTATTAAAATAATATTAATTTTATGCACGAAAGAGGAGAACAGTATATCTCTTCTCGTCTTTCATAATAAACAAGTTTGTTTCATATCTTTGAAAACAAATCAGTATGATCAATACGAGATATTCGAGACGAATCGCGTGAATATCTATCCCAATACTACTCACGCAAATTTATATATCTTTAATAAAGATCGAACGACGTGAATTTGTTTTTATCTATTACGAAATACTACAAATTCCAACAAATTTACACATTTCACGAGCTTCTCTGTATTAACACGAATTTCCCTGCGAATGTTCACAATTAGTCACTGTCGACAAACCTTTCAAATGCGACAACGCAGCCTCAGCAGCAGTCCTCTCCCAAGCTCTGTGCGCGTTCGCCGGTAATCCAAAGCACTCTTTGGGCGAGTCATTATCCGGAACGGTCTCCAGAGTCTTGGCCATCTCCTCGAACGAGCCATCAACCATCCTCAGAACACCGGCCAATTTCCTCCGGCCGCGAAACACCTCGGAACACCAGACGTCACGAACAATCGAGCACAGTGCTCTCATATCGTAATCGTTTTGCAAACGACCGCCATAAATCGCCGCGTCCAACAATCCCCTGCCAGTCTGCCAATCGCCGTCCTTGTCACTGCTCTTCGCTGACTCCGCCATTTCTTTCACTACCAATTCGTAGGCTGCCTCGAGATCGGACTCGTTCCACTCGTACGGCCTTATCCAACCCTGAGGAACGAATTTCCTTCGTTCCTGCAGCGTTGCGTGCAGCCACGACAGCAACAAGCTACCGGAAACGTTCACGTCTCTCCGGTGTTTCTGATGCAGTTGCTGCAGCGATCGTTTCACGTTCCTTTTCACACCCTCCGGTGGCTCGTATGCGAGCTTCAAACAAAGGCCGGCGAGGCTCGGGTAGAATCGCCCGCATTCTTCCGTCGTTAACCAGATCCTTGCCGTGGGATTCTTCTTGCACCAGAGCGATCTGAGCAGACTCTCCAGTCGGGGAAGCCAGTTCAAGGCTAAGTGCAGGTTGCTCAACAGTATCCAGCTTCCGTCCCTGTTCGGCCGTGATTGAATTTCTTAATTTTCGTACAATATTCGAAAGAACAGAAGAGAGTGACTCTCGCGTGGTGAGGTTCGAAATGGAGTTCTCTTTCTTTTAATTTTCAACGAATGCGACAACAACGAAGGTTCGATTGGCTCTCTTCGTTTCTACGGAATTTAGCTTCCTTCAACGCTGTGATTTTATTTTCTTTTTTTTTTTTTCTTCAATTTTTACTCGACTTAAACTCTTACATTGCGACGTTTCAAACGAACTTTTTATGGCGTGCAGCATTTCCGGAAAATCTCTACAACGTTAAGAAAAGTCACGGGGGAAAGGTATTTCTAATTATTTGTAGATTAAATTCGATCGCAAGTTATTTGATCACTTTCTTTTAATTTTCAACGAATGCGACAACGACGAAGGTTCGATTGGCTCTCTTCGTTTCTACGGAATTTAGCTTTCGTTCTGCCATATTGCCAATTCTGAATTCAACCTTCAACGCTGTGATTTTCTTTTTTTTTTTCTTCAATTTTTACTC